AGCATATTTTAAGCCAGATGTGGTCCTTGTCAAAACATACAAACTTGAACATTTATTTTCTGAAAACAGCCTATCTTTTTTAAACCATAATCTTGTTCCAAGGGGTAGTATAGTTTTTGGAATTTATAATTTTTTCCTCTGTTTACAACAAAACACACCTGAATGAGGACTCTAACTGAAGGCAGTGTAATAACTGCTGTCCGGAAAAGAGAATTCCAAACACACAAAATAATTACCCTTTCATTTGCCTAAGCTTCATTTGTTAGAAATTAAAGGTGAAGTTTAAATTAAATCACGAAGATAAGACCTTAAGCATATCAACATGTGCAAAATCAAGAGAGAATGATCTCTTAGCAAAATTTATTTAGCTTCTAGTACATAAAGAAATACATGAACTACGAGATTTGACCATGTCACTCAATCATCCAACGCAACTCTGCCAGGATAAGTTCACAATCAAGAATGAAGAATTAAGAATCTCAATCATCAATTCTTGTCGTCTTAAAGGTGTAGTAGAACCGTAAACAACTCTGACAACTCTTCTACTCAACCACAGCCACCGCACTTTTTTAATATCACGAAGACTTAATTTTGGGCCTTTCACTTGAAAATATAAACTCTTCTACATACGTATTGGAGGGTTGGCCCTTCTGTTAGTCTTGTGAGTCTTCTAAATACAACCACAGGTCAAAAGCGTGCATCTAGAGAGGTGAAGCGAGTCTGCAAAAGATTGGGCATCGAGGAACAGTGACTGTTCACTGGTCTCGTTCTTAGCGTAGTAAACGGCATGTAATGAGAAACGCAAGACCAGAAGAAAGGAAAACGTAAGCTCCACATCACCGCGGAAAAAATTGGTTAAAGCAAAGAAAGCAATGACCAGCAGGACCAAAAGCGAATTCACTTCACGCTGTCGAACCGCTGCGAAGACGAACTTCTTGTTGTTGTTCCCAGCGAGTCTCGCGCATGCTCGCTACAGTTCTCGAATGATTGACAGATTTCTTAACTGGGGCGATCATGGAAAGCCGAAAAGCGGCAAGATCAAAGGCCGTTGCCAGCCCCCCCTGATCCGCACGTACTATATGCTAAACCATCGAATAAGGTGTATGTATTTCGAAGTTAAAACGAAAAATTTATAGGAGCAAGGGAAAATAGAGAAACGAAAGATAGCTTGTCATATCAAAGAATAAATATAAACTTATTTCTTTAGCTTACCTTCCGATTCTTGATCAAATAATTTTTTTGCGGCGCTGTTTTGCTTAGCCTACAAATAGTTTTTGAGATGAAATAAATTTCAAATTAGTTTAATGAGATAAATGAAAAAGAAAGGCCAAACGACTTTCAACAATGAAAACGTGCATAGAATAAAAATGTTCGTTTCTCTGTACTCTCCATGGCTGCTGGACATCTTTCATCAGCACGGAAAAGTTATTGACAGCTCGCCCGCTTCCAAAAGCTCCGCCCCAAGTTGGGCGCTTTCCATTTAGGAAAAAAAAACAACAGAAATTTCGGCGGTAGCAAAAGTGGAATCTCCGATTGGTAAAAAGTTGTTCCATTTGGCCGTAAACCCCGGTACGTGGCGGTACCCGACCGTGGACCTGGAACTGGTACAAACCACGAGAAACGTAAATGGAACACGACATTCCGTTCGGAAATTCCAACTGCGAAAACGGGCCCACCTTTTTAGATTTTCCACTTTTTCTGGGAATTTTCCAGTGGGACGAACCGACGAAACGTGTTCCATTTACCCCCGAACCGGAAATTCCGGAAAGTTTGACTAAATGAGAAGCGCCCAAAATGTTAGGGGCGCGATCCATTCAACCAAAATTTCCGGAAATTTCGGTCCAAAACTCAATGGATCGGTTCGGTCCAACCGGAAAAGTTTCGAAAAAACTGGTCCACCTTTTGAGGTGGTCCTCTTTTCCCGGTCGGACCGGTCTGAATTTTGGTTGAATGGATCGCGCCCCGCTAGGCCTCAAAAACTTTCTCGGACCACGTGACCCGAAACGCATCGGCCGCGCATAATAATGAGGCCTAGGGACTAGGCAACCCTTTTGCTAAAGGTCCCTACTACCATTAGTGGGGAGGAGCGTTGCGTGACGACACTAAATATTTAAAAATAGGAGGTACGTCATGTATGAAATCGAGGTTGGGAAATTCCATAGAAGATGGCGGCATTCATAGACAATCAAACGTTGTCCTCCGATTCGGGCAAATTCTACCACAAAAACAGATAGATTACTTCTATTTTAGCATGGCAGAAGCCAGGAAAAGATATATTCTTGTTTGTGATCGTGCGGGCTATATGCTAGAGAGAAGCATTTTGTCTTTTGGTAGAATGAAGTCAACACCTACACCGTTATTAAAAGGAGAAATATTGGAGGCTCTTCCAGAAAGAGAGCAACCTAACGACTCAACAAGAATAGTTCTTGCTGTAATCGATAGGGAAAAAATACGTCTTGAATGTCATTTAGAAGACGTACGGCGACTTACGAACGAAGATGCTGACCTACTCTTGGCTATTTGTTCAGTAGGTTTGAGATACCAGTGTTATTTTGATAGGAAACGTTTAGATTTCGGGAGACAGATCTCACCCGGAAGTCAGGTGTTTGTGGAAGTGAAAGGAGTTTCCAAGAAATTACACGGAACTGTGTGGTACGTTGGTGAATTGGTAGGCCTCCGTGGAACCATGTTTGGCGTAGAGTTGACGGTAAGTAGGAAGTGGAACCTCGATGTAATGGCCAAGGGACTGGCAACCATCACTATAACAAGGTTTTAATATATAGATTTAACCAGGGCTAAAAGCGAAGCTCTCGATAATATTAATCGTGTAACGCTAAGTGGCGAAGGGAACACCGGAGAACGGTGAAAAACAACAATAGGTCTAATTAGCAAAAAAGCAAATTTGCACGTGCAGCACACTTGTTTTTGTACAGTTCTTTGCCGTTGTTTTGCACGACCTAAAACGTGAAACTTCCAGAAATTTCTTAGTTACATGTTTTATGGAGGAAATGTCGTACGTGTTCTCGTTCCTGACTTTGTTTTTCTATGCCGCTCATTTTCACCCTGCATTGGTGGCCGCTAGAATTTTTCATTTTGTCACAAAATTTTCATGTTGTTCTTCCAAAAAAGATGTCTCCTTTGTTTTTATCTCTCGCTCTAGATCTCTGTCGCCCTTTTTCTCTGAACAAGGCCACTGGCCTTGATAACATCTCATGTCGGCTTCTAAAAGAAGCTGGCCCAATTATTGCCACTTCTTTAGCCTGTATTATAAACAAAACCGTAGATACTGGCCTCTTTCCTTCACTGTGGAAAATGGCTAAAGTATTTCCTTTGTTGAGCTATTTTGAAAAAATAGCTCATATGTCAGTGGCGTGAGGATATTTATTTCTGTGGCTTTGTATCTTTGTATGTTCGGATGTTTGTTTCAAGAGCCAATAAGGTTGAAACTACTATGAGTTTATGCTTAGGAACCAATGAGATCTTGGCATCTACTTCTACTTTTTTTTTGTCTTTTATTACGGCGACATTAGTTTGGAAACATTATATTAAATATCTTCATGACTCAAACGCTGTGTACAGTGATGCAGCTGTTTAAGGGTTCATATTTTAGTGTGGATGCTACTTCAAGACATTTCTGACTGAATTCGGCTATCGCGAACGGTACCACGAACGTATTTATGAGTTGTGTTTCATCTGCTTCAAGGTAGAGTATAAAAGATCATATATTTTCAAAGCTCTTCTAGTGAAGCAATAATTCGGGTATTTAGATATGAACTTTAATTCAAAAGTATGCGGCCTATAAAATGTGGTTTTAGAAGTTTGAAGGCAGCTTATTTTTTTAAATCCGTACTGAGTATTGTTAATCCTGTAAACAAGCCGTAGAATTATTATTCTCTTGCTTACAGAGTTCAACAGACCTTTTTCCTTCCGGCAAAACAAAACCAAAAAAAAGAATAATAAGTGAACAACATGATACATCCTTCCTGCATACTAAGCATTATAGTCATTGAAATGTATTTTATTTAGTAAAGATGCGTAACTTAAGTAGAAACAGTAGTGTTAGGGAATAAAATTGGAAGAAGCTAGTTGACACAATAATTAGATACTGCTTTATTGAGTGGAGTAACATGATATGAGCAGAAATATATTTCAGCAGTTTGATAATTTTCTTGGAAGTCAATAAATGTTAGGCTATCAACCTTGACGTTGCATGAAACATAAGTTAATTGCAGATGTTGTAATGAAGCTGAGGTGATTTCTTAAAATCATTTGAGAAAATTTTATAGTAAACAATTTGCGTGTTTTTTTTACTTACGAATTGTAAAAGGCCAAAGACCAACATCTTCACGTGCAAATTGTGTGCATGAGTTATTTTTATAATTCTGTTTACTCGATTACTGTGTGATAACTTGAATTCCCTCACGTACAAACCACGATAGGGGGCAAAGTCCAACACTTTCACGTGCCAGTTTGGTGACTGTACATCTCATGCAGATTGACTTTTCACAATACTAATAGTAACTTGAACGTATGAAGACCTGTTTCGTTTTGTAACCAATGCCTTAAAAAAGGCTCTTTTCTTTTAAGAAGCAATAGCTTTTAAAACATGAAGAAATAAGTTGTCCGAGTTAAACACTGTTTCACTGAGTAGAATCGCACGTGAAAACCTCGTGAATTGTGATGATGTAACCATCTAACACAATGATAAGAATCCTGGTATTTCTTAACTACTTGAATTTGATGAGTCACATTTTGGCTTAAGAAACTCCGGGGAAACCTTAGAGTTTTCCTTCTAATCAACGTTTGGTGAGTAGATATATATTTTACTTTAACAATTTGTTTAACTTGCACCAAATGTAACAGGGAAAGACAGAGGAAAGTGAATATATAGCATGAGGATCGACGCAGCTGAGTGTTTTGCATTTTCATTTATGTACGGCAATACTTAATTTCACACAAAAACCCAGTGTACATTTAGGACAAAAAAGGTAGATTCATCACTCTTGGTAAGGTTACACTGAAGCATTAAAGTTACACCGAAGCATTCAAAATAGCTCATGCACGTTTAACGTGCCTATTTTATAAAAAGGATGATCGCACAGATGCACAAAATTATAGACCAATATCTGTCTTGCCAGCCATTTCTAAGATTTGTGAAAGGGTAGTCTATGATCAACTATACCGTTACTTAAATTCAAATGGCCTGTTAACAAAAAAACCAGTCTGGATTTCGTTCCCTTCACTCTACAGTGACAGCGTTGATACATTTCACAAATAATTGGTATCTTAACATTGACAAAGGCATGACCAATTTGATTGTGCATCTCGATCTTGCCAAAGCCTTTGATACCATTTCACATAATATTTTATTAAAAAAGCTTGAGCTCTATGGTCTGAAGGGTGTAACGCTCGACTGGTTTTCAGCGTACCTATCAGATAGGCATCAGCAGTGTGTAGTAGAGGGCTGTGTATCTATGCCCCAGTTGATAAGTTGTGGACTTCCACAGGAATCAATTTTAGGCCCTTTGTTGTTTTTAATACATTCCCTGGATGTCTTCTCCATACCAAAGCACACATGTATGCCGATGATACCACGATAAATGCGTCCTCTGTATCCACTGCTGAACTATATGCCAAGGTAAATAATGACCTAACTCACGTTAGGGACTGGCTTCTTGCAAATAAGTTAAGCTTAAATGTCACTAAAACAGAGTATATATTTTTAACAACTACCTTCAAATTATCTAACTTAGGAAGAGACTTTCCAATTAAGATTGGCAACAATCATGTTAAACAAGTCCAAGCAACAAAATATTTAGGAATTCACTTAGATGAAAATCTTAAATGGAACGAGCATGTTGACAAACTTTGTTCAAAAGTCAAGTGATCCATCAGTGGTCTTAAACAGGCACGTGATTATGTACCATTGGTTGTTCTAAATACTATTTACAAATCCCTTATCCAGCCTGTGTTCGACTACTGCGACGTTGTTTGGGACAATTTAGACCAAGGACTTGCCAGTAGGATCCAGAAATTACAAAATCGTGCTGCACGCATAATAACCTTTCAAGGTTATGACGTTCATTCAGCACAAATACGAAAACAACTAAACTGGGAAGAGCTTGCCTCAAGGCCTCAAAGGCACTTAAGTCTATTAATGTATGATACAGTGAATGGAAGTATACCTAGTTACTTAAGCGATCTTCTCTCGAATGTCTGTGAGATCAACCCTTATAAGTCTATGCTAAGAAATACAGAATATAATGTTGTACTGAACCACATTCCAAAAACAGAATATTATAAAGGGTCTTTCTCATACAGCGGAGGAATGCTGTGGAATTCATTACCAAATGACGTAAAAGCATCCAAATCTAAAGCTATCTTTAAAAGAAAACTGGCTAGTTAAGGCAGGCAAACTGTCGACTACATTTTACTATATTTTATTATTTTTACATATTTTTAGTGTAGTTGTAGAGTATTTACTTCTGTTTCTATACGGCTTTCATGTGAAGAAGTTATGTATCAATCAATCAATCGATCTCATTGAACTTCGCTGGCCTGCTGCCTACTTTCTCTTTTCCTGTCTGTCTCTTGCTCTATATTCCAAATTTGTGGACATGACAATTAATCTAGGCTTAATACTTTAGACAACACGGATAGAGAAACAATTTCCGCTTTCTGTTTTTGTCTTTGTTGACTCTTTAGTTGTCTCTGCTTTACAAGATGCCGGTGGCTATGCGATTTCCCACCAAAATAACCTCCAGTTGCATTTGCCATACCTGTTGATTGAGTTATTTTACATTGGTATGCCTCTGCTGCAAATGGTCAGGCGGGTGGGCATATGGTCACGTGATTACCAAATTTTCTCAAATGGTTGCAAAAAAATATCATTCATTATTCTTGGACTTTGTTATTATAGAGGATTAAAAGGTTTTACTGTATGTCCTCTTTGTAAACAGAGCCCAGGCCCCAGTTGTTCAAAGGGTGAATTGTGGTCGTTTCACGTGAAAGCGAATTTGGCCGAAGTTGTTTCGCCCAGACATAAGTCAATTTGCCCAATGACAATCAACACTCTGCAGCACGGATTATCAGTGATGCTTTTTAGTTAAGCTTGGAATCTATTGCTGTAATCGTGTAACGATTCATATTCCTTGCGATTCGATTCGATTTCGATTATGTAAATGTTTCTTAATTCTTATAACATAATGTAAACGCATAACGCATAATGTAAACAACATGCAACCCTAAACCCTCAATTTGAGAATAGTAGCAGGGACAGGAGGATTCACAGTCGCTTGGTTCATCGCCATGTTTGAGAACCTGACAAAGAGCGTGTCGCACATAGTTTGCCCTGTTTGGAAATTCTCACTGGTTGAAGGACAGCATTTTTACTAGGCAACACAAAATGGTGCACGAAATGCTATCGTCTTTGCTTGTCAATGATAAACGCACAATTTAAAGCATTCTGCATTCCGATTTTACAATCTAATAACTCACTAA